ATGTAGGTGATGGGGAGGAAGGCAGCAAATCACACTGCCACGTGTGTACCTATGCAACAATCTTGCATGTTCTTCACATGTACCCCAAAACCTAAAATGCAATAAAATAAATGGGGGGAAAAAAGGAGTGGGATAAAAGAAAAAATATATATATTGGCTTTGCCTAACAGTTGTACGTATATAGGAAAAGTACCTGTTGGTCTCCCACATGGTAGGTGTGAGTGTTTAGTGCATGTTAATATCCCAAACTTGCTATAAATCTCCTGGAAGTTCTAGAAATATGTTAAGTTGTTATGATTTTTGTAATATCTCACCAAAACCACATATTGATTAGCTCAGCATTTATTACATGATAGATGGTTTCCAATCATGATATTTTCGTAAAATAAACCAAAGGATTCAGATCTGGCAAAAAAAAAAAAAAAAAAAAAAAGAATTATTTCATATAACCTTCAGAACAGTTTTGAACTAGGCATTATCCCTATTTTACAGAGGGAGAACCTCAGGTTGAAAGAAATCTCGCGTTTACGGCCATACCACCCTGAACGCGCCCGATCTCGTCTGATCTCGGAAGCTAAGCAGGTTCGGGCCTGGTTAGTACTCGGATAGGACTCGCCTTGCAAATACCGGGTGCTGTAGGCTTTATTTAAAAAAAAAAAAATTTTTTTTAAAAAAAGAAAGAAATCACCTGATTTACCCCAAATCATTCATGTTTAGATGGCAGAAGTAGAATCCAAACCAAACCATCTGTGTCTGGGGCCTGTACCTTTGTCTAATAACCTACAGGTCTGTTCATAAACCCATCAGAACAAAATCACCTTAAAAATTATAAAGGTTGGCTGGGAGTGGTAGCTCACACCTGTAATCCCAGTACTTTGAGAGGCCACGGCAGGTGAATCGCAAGGTCAGGAGATCGAGACCAGCCTGGCAAACATGGTGAAACCCAGTCTCTACTAAAATACAAAAAACTAGCCAGGTGTGGTGGTGCACATGCCTGTAGTCCTGGCTACTTAGGAGGCTGAGGCAGGAGAATCACCTGAACCCAGGAGGCAAAAGTTGCAGCAGTGAGCCAAGATCGTGCCACTGCACTTCAGCCTGGTGACAGAGCGAGCCTCTATATAAAAAAAAAAAAAAAAAAAAAACACAACTATAAAGCTTGTTAAACAACTGCACCCAAGTGGCTTCTATGTTTAATTTTTTTTTAATTTCTATTAATCGGGAATAGGTAAAGTTCAGTAGGAAATACTAATCAAAAATGTAATGCTCATAATGGCACTAGATGGTCTAAATATTTACCAGAATAGCAGCAAGTTTGAGTTTTCTATTAAATGGTCTATTTTATGCTCAGATTCAAAACCTAATAAATGGGACTTGAGTTATCCTCTAGAGTGGTGATCTATAAATGCTCTATTATCAATAAATTCCTGATCCTGCCAATTTTTTTTCTAGGTAACTCCTTCCACTCCCTTAGCATGAAAACCAGTTTTTCCTTGATGATGCCACCTTTCTTAAAACTTTTTGGGAGTCAGGCCAGAAGAAATACAGCGTCTCCAGTTTCCTACCATGTTCCCAGGCCATCGTTCTGACGCTTTTACATGATCAACCCTCTCCTTAGAAACTTTTGCCCCACTTTGATCTCCAAGTTGAGGTCATCTTTCTCTTCACTCAGTTAATGCTTATCCTACTTTCTGCCCCAAGAAAACAACAACTAGGTTGTGGTCTAATCCTCAGGGTTCAGTCCAAGACAGTTACAAGAATCCAGAGAACACTGGATTGCATAGATACAAGGAATGGAATTGCTGGATCGTGTGGTGTGTATTTCTTCTTGACTGAGCTTTAGTAGTTAGCTATTTCATTTAAGTTGTCAAACTTACTGGCCTATAGCTATTCATCATATCTCATTAGTCTTTACATGTAATAATGCTCCTCTGTCATTCCTGAAGTTGGAGATTTTTGTCTTTAATTTTTTTATTTTTTATTTTTTGAGACAGAGTTTCACTCTTGTTGCCCAGGCTAGAGTGCAGTGGCACCATCTCAGCCCACTGCAACCTCCGCCTCCCGGGTTCAAGCAATTCTGCTGCCTCAGCCTCCTGAGTAGCTGGGATTACAAGCACGTGGCACCATACCCGGCTAATTTTGTATTTTTAGTAGAGAGAGGGTTTCTCCATGTTGGTCAGGCTGGTCTCAAACTCCCAACCTCAGGTGATCTGCCCAACTCAGCCTCCCAAAGTGCTAGGATTACAGGAATGAGGCACTGCGCCCCTCCTCTCTCTGTTGATTAGATTGCTTGAATGTTAATTATATTGATTGCTTTCAAGTAACCAGCTTTTGATTTCATCAATTTTCATGATTTTCTTGTGCATCTTTTATTTATCTACTGGTACTATCTTCATCATTTCCCTCACACTACTTACTCTGTGTTTAATTCACTCCTTTTTCAAGTTTCTTAAATGACACTCAGGTCAAAATATTTTTTAACTTTTCCTGTGACGACTTCTTTCATTCCTTATGTTACTAAAGAGTGTGTTGTCATTTTCCAAGTACTTGCAGATTTTTCAGATACTTTTCTGTTGATTTCCTGTTTAAACTCCTGAGAACATAATTTCAAACCTTTTAAATTTATTAAGGCTTTTTATGGCCCATAACACAGTTCACTTTGTTGAATGTTCCATGCATATCTGAAAAGAATGAATATTCTACTGTTATTGGATGGAGCGTCCTGTAAATATTAACTAGAATTACTCTTCCAATTACACTGGAAGAGAATCTTGCAGTCTCCAACTATAATTGTGAGGTAGTCTGTTTCTTCTTTTAGTTTCCTCTGCTTTTGCTTCAGATATTGAAGTTCTATTATGTATATACATATTTAGACTGTTAGGTCATCTCAACAAACTGACTGCTTTATTACTATGTATTTTTAAATACCAGCTAATATTTGTGTGCTGATATCTATTTGATTGATACTAACATTAATGATATTAATCATTTTCTTAATGATTGCATGGTATACTTTTTCAATTCTTTTTCATTTAGTTATGTGGATCTTTATATTAATACTTAAAGCTGAGTTTTTGGAGATGGTTTACCATTGGGTCTAATTAACTGGGTAAAGACAGAAGGCTGGGGAGGAGTTGCTCTCAGAGGAGACTGAGAAACCACTACCAATTAGACCGCAGGAGAACAGAATCAGGGTGCTACCGAGGTCAAGTGAGTACTTCTACAAGAGAACATTCAGCAGGGACCAATGCTACAGGAACATCAAGTAAGATGAAGACTGGAACTAGTTCGTAGTCCATTAGAAAGTCGTGATGACTTTCATCAGACCAATTTCAAAGCAAGGGTGAGAGCAGAAGTCAAACCATGGAGAGAAGAACAATTGGGAGAAGGGAAAGGAGGAATAATGAGCATTTTTAAATTGTGGTGGTATTGCTGGCATTAAAGCAACACACAGAAGGAACGAGGGTCAAGGAAAAGGGTCAAAATTCCTGCTTTGTTTATTTCAAGATGGGTGATATCTCTAAAGCTTATGGGCTGAGGGGAAAATATTGGAGAGTGTTGCCATCCTCTAGGGCAGGAGAGTAGGAGATGGGTGTGGCATCCTGTGGTGTTTCAGAAGGGGACAGGATGGGGATCTTGGGATGGAGTGTTGGAGGTGTGTATGCACAAATATTCATGTTGGGGAAAGGGAACAGGATCCCAGGAGGGAGGGGACTAGGTTGGGTCATAGGTTGGAGGGGGACCTGGGTGAGCAGTATTTGCTTTGGACAAAAAGGACAGCTCTTCCCCAGTACAACTCCCACCATGATGAATGAGAAAAGATGAGGAAAGCTGACACAAGTGAGGAGAGAACACATGTCTTGCTTAATAGCTGCTTCATAGAGAAAAATTCATTCTAACAGAAAAGAGATCAGCAGGGGATTTAAAGAGAGTGGTGAATGTTTGAAAGAACTGATTCTATATTCATTCCAAAAGGTCATTCCTCACATCCCTGTTTGATTCAGATGCCCTCTTTAGGGTTCCAGGGGGCTCTTTGAGCATACAACTGCCCAAACACTCAAGTTGACTCTTTTTTTCTTTCCAGCTTTTATTTTAGATTCAGGGGTACATGAGCTGGTTTGTTACATGGGTAAATTCCATGCCACTGGGGTTTGGTGTATAGGTTATTTCATCACCCAGGTAATAAGCATGGGAACCAATAGGTAGATTTTCAGTGCTCACTCTCCCCACATTCTCCACCCTCAAGTAGGTCCAAGTGTCTGTTGTTTCTTTCCTTGTGTCCGTATATACTCAAGGTTTAGCTCCCACTTATAAGTAACAACATCAGTGTTTGGTTTTCTGTTCTTGCATTAATTCTAATTTCTAATGCTACTTAGGATAATGGCCTCCAGCTCCATCTATGCTGCAGCAAAGGGCATGACCTTCTTTTTTATGGCTGCATAGTATTCCATGGTGCATATGTACCTCATTTTCTTTATCCAGTCCATCATGGATGAGCACGTATGTTGATTCCATCTTTGCTATTGTGAATAAGCTTCATGTTGACTTCTAACCATCAATTTACTTGTCTGGCCCCGACATGATTACAAGCTTCTTTGGTCACAAACTGTTTTACAGGTGCACATCATAATGCCTACAACTTAATAGATACCCAATAAAAATGCCTAATAAACAATAGAAAAAATACCATCCAGTAGTGGAGGCTCTATACCACTCACTTGGGGGTTAATTCAGAATGTGAGACTCCTAACTTAGATTCCACAATCTAAGAAACTTCAAACTCCAGTATTTTATAATTCAGTGAATGACGGATAAAGTGTCTTCAAATTTTAATTCACCACCGACTGCTCATGACATTACAATAATAACAAATATCTACTTGCAGAGAGAACTACCAGCAGGAGCCTTAAAAATACCTGTAAATAGGCCAGGCAAAGGGGTTCACACCTGCAATCCCAGCACTTTGGGAGGCCGAGGCGGGTGGATCACGAGGTCAGGAGGTGGAGACCATCCTGGCTAACACAGTGAAACCCTGTCTCTACTAAAAATACAAAAAATAGTCGGGCATGGTGGCATGTACCTGTAGTCTCAGCTACTCAGGAGGCTGAGGCAGAAGAATCGCTTGAACCTGGGAGGCAGAGGTTGCAGTGAGCTGTGATCAAGCCACTGCACTTCAGCCTGGGCGACAGAGCGAGGCTCCATTTCAAAAAAGAAAAAATACCTGTAAAGTATAATCAAAGTACATGAAGGCAAGAAAGGAAAACATAAATTCAGCAAAATTTTGAGTTACAAATACTGTTTGTTTTATTTTTTATTTTTAGAGAATGGGGCTTAAAATGGGAGTGTAGATTAAAGTTGGCATTTTAAATCCAATGTCCCTAAATTCAATTATGAGTATGCCAATTGTATGTCAAAGAACAGGACTGTTAAATAATGCACATTTCATTTCAAAGGCTTTCATCCAGATAAATTGGGCTCTGAACTTACTATTAATGCCTTGTTCATCTGTATTTCAACAGCAATACCCTAGAGTATACAAATACATTTCTAAATCACCTCAACTAATTATTGGGAAACCATACAGCATAAACTATACCTCTAAATAGGAAAAAAAAAACAAAACAACTATATATTTTACTTTTGATAATGTCACTCTCACTGCCCTCACCTTAAAATCCAATATACATTTTGACAACAATCTATAAATCTGACCCAAGATGGTCAGTTCTTCGTAACACACATGTCTAATGGCAGGACACATCACATATAGGAACAGTTTTACCAGGGAGGAAATGGGTTCTCCACTTATGGAAATGTTCAGTGGTAGAAAGCACACTGGAATTAATCATGCAAAGTAGTTTTGCTCTAATTCTAACACCTACTCATTGTAATGGTCACAGAGCTTCCGTTTCCTCACCTTTAAAATGAAGGGGCTGAACTAGAACAGCATTCCTCAGGGAATGTTCATTGAAAAAGTAGATCCAAACATCAGTCCAGAAAGGAAGACTAAGAAGGCTCCATGGTTAAAGAAGATGAAGAAAAGCTCTACATTATAGCAATGCACGGTAGGATCCAGGTGCTCCTCTACTCACAATGGGGTTACGTCCCAATCAACCCATTATAAGTTGAACAGATCATAAGCCAAAAATGCATTTAATACAACTACTTTTTTTTAGACAGGGTCTCACGCTGTTACCCAGGCTAGAGTGCAGTGACACAATCATGGCTCACTGCAGCCTCAAATTCCCAGTCTCAGGCGATTCTTCTGCCTCCCCTTGTCAAGTAGCTGGGACTAGAGATATGTGCCATCATACCCAGCTTTTTTTCTTTTTTTAAAATTTTTAGTAGAGATAAGATCTTATTGTATTAACCAGGCTGGTCTTGAGCCCCTGGTCTCAAGCAATCCTCCCACCTCAGCCTCCCACAGCACGAGGATTACAAGTGTGAGCCACCATGTGCAGCCCACCTAACCTATCGAATATCATAGCTGAGCCCTAGCCTACCTAATCATGCTCAGAATGCTTACATTAGCCTACAGCTGGGCAAAATTACTGAACACAAAGCCTATTTGACAACAAAGTTTTGAATATCTCATGTTATTTATTGAATAAATTATTTTGTATTGCCATATGTGTATCACTTTAGCACCATCACAAAGTTGGAACATTATAGGCCAAACCCTCATAAGTCAGAGACCATTTGTACTTGAGAATCTGACAGGTCCTTCAATGAAGAAAACTTTCTGGCTATGACCTGGTATTTTCCATAGTTATTTGACAACATCATCTTGGTCTCCTCTTACATTTATTAACATCTTAAAAAGTACTAGCAACATGTGAGATACCTTTGGAGAAACCATGACCTAAATAAGCACTAGTATTTTCAGCTGTTTGTTATCCTTGACAAATGAGTCCATATGAAGCTAAAATATCCAAGTAAATGAGACATTAATTGTAGAAAATTAATCATATGACAATGTGGTGAACTAGAAATCGAATGGTCCTTTCATTAGAACATAACTAGATCCTGGATATATCACAACAACATTTTTAATACTTTGTAGAGCGCCCAAGAGAGTAGAGGTCTCTCCAGGTAGGATGAGACAAAACTGAAGCCAAAGCAGATAACAGGAATGGAGAGTTGCCTCTGTCACCACGGAATTGGAAGACTAAGCTTGAAGGTTCCTGACATGTTGAACCTGCAACTCTCATTTTTAATCTTAAATTCTCAAGCGTGGCTGAAATGGTCCCAGGCTGGTGGTTGCCCCAATAGTGCTAAATGCAAATTATCCCTAAAGGAAGAATCTTCAATCTAGTTCTTCAGATTTCTACAGAATGGGTTCAACAAAATATGAAGTCTCAGTTTAAAAATTACCAAGGACACAGGGAAGAAGACTGTCCTGACATAGAGAGAAAACAAAAATAAACAGCCTTTGAGTCTAAAGGACTGATCTATTCAAATTATCACATAAAGAATGCAGAGATATGTTCGTCACCTTGCTCCTTTCTGCCCGTAGACGCCGCTGAAGAAGCATCATTAAAGTCTCTCTTCTCCCTGTGACCATGTCTAAGTCAGAGTCTCCTAAAGAGCCCGAACAGCTGAGGAAGCTCTTCATTGAAGGGTTGAGCTTTGAAACAACTGATGAGAGCCTGAGGAGCCATTTTGAGCAATGGGGAAGGCTCACGGACTGTGTGGTAATGAGAGATCCAAACACCAAGCGCTCCAGGGGCTCCTCACGTGTGTCACTGGGGAGGAGGTGGATGCAGCCATGAATGCAAAGCCACACAAGGTGGATGGAAGAGTTGTGGAACCAAAGAGAACTGTCTCAAGAGAAGATTCTCAAGGACCAGGTGCCCACTTAATTGTGAAAGAAATATTTGTTGGTGGCATTAAAGAAGACACTGAAGAACATCACCTAAAGATTATTTTGAACAGTATGGAAAAATTAAAGTGATTGAAATCATGACTGACCGAGGCAGTGGCAAGAAAAGGAGCTTTGCCTTTGTAACCCTGGACGACCCTGACTCTGTGGATAAGACTGTCATTCAGAAATACCATACTGTGAATGGCCACACTGTGAGGTGAGGAAAGCCTTGTCAAAGCAAGAGCTGGCCAGTGCTTCATCAGCCAAAGAGGTTCTGGAAGCTTTAGTGGTGGTTGCAGAGGTGGTTTCAGTGGGAATGGCAACTTTGGTAATGGAGGAAACTTCAGTGGTCATGGTGGCTGTGGTGGCTTTGTTGGCAGCCGTGGTGGTGGATATGGTGGCAGTGGGGATGGCTATAATGGATTTGGTAATGATGGAAGCAATTTTGGAGGTGGTGGAAGCTACAGTGATTTTGGCAGTTACAACAATCAGTCTTCAAAATTTGGACCCATGAAGGGAGGAAACTTTGGAGGCAGAAGCTCTGGCCCCTATGGTGGTGGCAGCCAATACTTTGCCAAACCAGAAAACCAAGGTCGCTATGGCGATTCCAGCAGCAGCAGTGGCTATGGCAATGGCAGAAGATTTTAACTAGAAAACAAAGCTTAGCAGGAAAGGAGAGCCAGAAAAGTGACAGGGAAGCTGCAGGTTACAACAGATTTGTGACCTCAGCCAAGCACAGTGGTGCAGGGCCTAGTGCTACAAAGAAGACATGATTTAGACAATACTCATGTGTATGGGCAAGAAACTTGAGGATTCCATTTGTGACTAATTGTATAACAGGTTATTTTAGTTTCTGTTCTGTGGAGACTGTAAAGCATTTTAACGAAGGGTTTTAATATAGATTTTTTTGTTTGCACCCATGCTGTTGTTTGCTAAATGTAATAGTCTGATTGTGATGCTGAATAAATGTCTTTTTTTAAAAAAATGCAAAATGAAGTTATTTGCAATATTTAAAGAAAGGAACAATGATAAAGAAATGAATAATAATAAATCAAAAATTAGGATTGTAGGACTAAAAGACTATTAAAAAATTACCAATCACCTTGTGGGGAGGGTCCTTTTTGAGGGGAAAAAAAATCAAGATGCAAAATATCATTATTAAAGTTTAAAACTCAAGGATGGATGTGTGTTACAGCTGATTAGAGTCAGCAAAGGAGAGAATTACTAGCCAGACAGCAGATGCCGAACGCACAGTGAAAGAGATGGAACATGGAAAGAGAAGAGACATGGAAGACAGAACGAAAAGGTCTAAAATATCTTTAATAAGATTCCCAAAATAAAGGGGAAAAAGGCTGCATTTCCTAGGATAGTAACTCCAAATTTTCCAAAAGCTTTTAAAGAACACTGTGTTAGAAACAGAACACATATATAGACAGAGATCTAGGTATATACATATAAAAATTTATTATAAGAAGATGGCTGTCACAATTATGAAGGCTGAAAAGCCCCACAATCTGCCATCTGTAAGCTGGAGATCCAGGAAAGCTCATGGTTTCACTCTAATCTCAGTCCAAAGGCCCAAGAATCAAAACAAACAATAATATAAGTCCCAGTCTGAGGACAGGAGAAGACCAATGTCCCAGCCCAAGCAGTCAGGCAGAGAGTGAATTCTCTCTTCCTCTGCCTTTCTGTTCCATCCAGGCTCTCAACAGATTAGATGACACCCATCTGAATTGATGAGAGCACTCTGGCTTACTCTGGCCAATCTCATCCAGAAACACCCCTAACAAACACACCCAAAAATCCTTAACCAAATATCTGGGTACCCTATGGCCCAGTCAAGTTAACATGTAAAACTAACCATCACAGACATAAACCCATGGATGCATGAAACACAACTTACAACAAGCAGATTTAAATAAAGTGAATCTTGACCTTGAATTTCATAGTTATATTAAAATCCCAGCACTTTGGGAGGCTGAGGCGGGTGGATCACAAGGTCAGGAGTTTGAGACCAGCCTGACCAACATGGTGAAACCTCATCTCTACTAAACATACAAAAATTAGCCAGACATGGTGGCACGTGCCAGCTACCCAGGACGCTGAGGCAGGAGAATCACTGGAACCTGGGAGTCAGAAGTTACAGTGAGCCCAGATCGTGCCAGTGCACTCCAGCCTAGGTGACTGAATGAGACTCTGTCTCAAAAAAACAAAACAAAACAAAAAATCATAAACAAAGAGAAGCTCTTTAAAGGCAGCCAGACAGACGAAACAGAAAAATTACAAGAATATAGCAATTATGTTTACAATTCACTTCTCAATAATAGCTGTTAGAGTCAGCAGTATAATATATTTGATGGGCTAATGAAACTTATAACCATCTGGAAATGTTTACTCAGAAAGTTACCTTCCAACAATGAGTGTGAAATAGCAGTATTATAATTTTTTAAAGGAGTGATTTTATTCCTTTATGAAAGGAAGATAGAAAGTGACCTCTAAAGGAAGATCTGAGATGAGAGCAGGATAGTAAACCAAAAAATTGGTAAATACGTTGATAAATATAAAGAATTATCTGAATGATAACACTGTCTCAGTTGTGGACTTAGAACAGAACTGAAAACAGCTACGAAACCACAAAAGACAAAGAATGCATGATTAAATGCATGCTGAGCAAAAGAAACCAATCTGAAAAGGCTACATACTACTGTAGGATTCCAGCTTATATGACATTCTGGAAAAGGGAAAACTATGGAGACAATAAAATATCAGTGGCTGCCAGGGGTTGGGGGAAGTGAGGGATGAATAGGTAAAGCACAGGGGATTTTTAAGGCAGTGAAACTATTATTTTGTGTGATATTCTAATGATAGATAGATGTTGTCCATCATCAGATATACATTTGTCCAAATTCACAGAATGTACAACACAGAGTGAACTCTAATATAAACTATGAAATTTAGTTAATAATTTACTAATATTGGCTCATTAGTTGTAACAAACGTACAAAACTCATACAAGATGTTAAAAATAAGGGAATTAGGGGCCAGGGTAAAGGAGTATATGGGAACTCTGTACTTTTCACTCAGCTTTGTCTGTAAACCTGAAACTTCTTTTTAAAAAAAGTCTGGTAATTTAAAAAATTAGGACTAAAATATCAGATCATTCAAGTTGGGAGGCGGGGCTAAGGTGATCTAAGATCTGGGCATTCTTTGAAAAAAAAGATGAAAATGTGATTAACATATGCAGAAACCTACAACCAATCATTGGAAAACACATGGTTCTCAACTGTGCAAACAACACTTAAAACATGAAAACAAAACCTAATCACATCTTTATATTAAACTGCAAAATTTAAAGAGCTGATGTCATAATACGTTCTCTGAAAACAACGGAACTTATTAATAAATCAAAAACAAATGTAAATGAAAAAAATCCTCTTACAGGTGGAAACAAAATATATCTGTAACTAAATAAGCCTTGAGTCAAAATAAAATTAAAATGCTAAGCTATTCAGAACTAAATAATGAAAGTTTTACGTACGAAAATCTTAGAGATGCAGTTTATAGCACTGAAGATTCATATTAGGAAAGAAGAAAAGACTAAAGTTTCCTGCAGTAAACATTCATCTCAAGAAATTTAGATCAGAATAATAAAGTCAAAGAAAGTAGAAAAGATAAAAATGAGAGTAAAAAGTAACAAAATAGAAAGCAAAGATAAAATTTAAAAAGCCAAATATGGTTCTTAGAATGTGTGTGTGTGCTTATATAGATAGATAGACAGACAGACAGATAAGCCTATATACTATTAGATCAAAGAAGAAAGATTTAGCACAAATAAAATTAGGAAGGAAAAAGAGACACAGCCATAGATTCATATGAGAGTAAAATAAAATTAATATCAATTGTATAAATAAATTTGAAAACACAAAATTGACCAGTTTCCAGAAAAGTATCATTTTTTGGCTATATGGCACATTACCATGGTTCCAAAAGTCAGAGCTCCACAAAAGGTTACTCAAAAAGTATTGCTCCCCGTTTATCCCTATGACCACATACCCACTCCTCCATGCTTTTTTTTTTTTTTTTTAAGTTGGAGTTTTGCTCCTGTTGCCCAGGCTGAAGTGCAATGGCACGATCTTGGCTCACCACAACCTCTGCCTCCCGGGTTCAAGCGATTCTCCTGCCTCAGCCTCCTGGGTAGCTGGGATTACAGGAATGTGCCACCATGCCTCCTTAATTTTGTATTTTTAGTAGAGACGGGGTTTCTCCATGTTAGTCAGGCTGGTCTCAAACTCGCAACCTCAGGTGATCTGCCTGCCTCCTCCTCCCAAAGTGCTGGGATTAAAGAATGGCCCGCGGCCATTCTTTCTACCTCACTCCCTTCTACTCCCTGTAGCTAATCAACCTCATTGTTTTTTTCCTTCCTGTATTTTCTCATAGCCCTTTCTTACATGAACCAACATATTAGGGATCAGCAAATCAGAGCCTGAGGGCTTTATCTAACCTGCTGCCTGTTTTGTAAACCAAGTTTGATTGGAACTCAGCCGCAGCACCCTCCCCTACAGTTGATGGGCTGTGAGGGCTTTCACACCACAACTGCAGTTGGGTAGTCTCCACCAAGAACATGTGATCAGCAAAATCTGAAATGTTTGCCTCTGGCCCTGTCCAGAAAAAAGTTAGCTAACCATTGTTCTAAACGTTCTTTTATCCTTTGTTTTATTTCATATATCCTGGAATTTATTCCATACCAGCTCACAGAGAGATTCTTTATTCTTTTCTCCAGCTGCATAGCATGGCCATCTATGCGGACACATCACAGCTTATTCAACCACTCTCCTATACGTGTGCATTCGTGTTATTGCTGATAGTTTGCACACACAGCCAACATTGTAAAGAATAATAATGTGATATTACAGATCTCCTCTCAACTTCCCCCATACTACAATTCTGAAAAATGTCCAGAAAAAAAACTAGTTTTCATTTGCTACACAAAAACTGATTCAAAGCAAATTTTGAATAATTTTTTTTTTCCTTTAAGCTTTTAATTTTGCATCTTGGTTAAAACCTCAAAAATGAGGGCAGGATCAGGAAGAGAAATGTAATTGTGGGCCACGCAAAAGCTCTCCTGGTACATTATAGCCTTGTGAGGCCTCTGGGGGGCTGGCCATGCACAGATGACAGATTAGGTGTCATTTATACCAATTCCAAGAGTAAAGAGAGTCCAGTGACACATCAGTATTTTGAATGTTTCCCATGTTTAAGCTTTGATTGAGAAAGGAGTTCTCAGTGCACTGTTTGTGCTTATATTTTGATTTTAAATTATTGATGGAAACTCATTGTGATAGAATACAATAAAACAAAAAAGAGGAAAATGCCTTGAGGTTAGGGACTATTTTTTGTTTTGTTACCTCCAACCTCTTGTATCACCTGATTCTACCCACAAGTGTGGTACTCTTTAGAACTTGGTTATCACTTGTTGTCTACATAAGCAGAAACTTCTCATTGCTGGTTAGTTTGACATGTAACTTAGTGCCAAAAGAAAATACATCCTCACATTGCTTGAATCTGTCTATATAGTATAGTCCTGAAAACGTTTTAGAAACACTGATGTGGAAATAGTGACAAAGTGGTTCCCCTTTATTTTTTACATATATAAAACTTCTGGCCGGCCACCGTGGCTCATGACTATGATCTCAGAACTTTAGGGGGTCAAGGTGAGAGTATTGCTTGAGCCCAGAAATTTGAGAGCAGACTGGGCAGCATGGCAAAACTCTGTCTCTTCAAAAAATACAAAAATGAGCCAGGTGTAGTGGTGCATGCCTGTAGTCCCAGCTACTCGGGAGGCTGAGGTGGGAGGATGGGTTGAGCCCAGGAGGTCAAGGCTGCAGTAAGCTGTGATTGTGTCACTGCACTCCAGCCTGGATGACAGAGGGAGACCCTGTCTCATTAAAAAAACAAATAAAAAAACTTTTTAAAGTTCA